AAACCTACGGCTTGCTGTATCCGAGACCACTACCAAGGAAACTCCTGCCCCAGTAAACAGGTGGGGAGGGGAGGGGGAGAATTTGTGACTGGTCCATTACTCGTAGCTAGGCTAAAAAAACAAGCTAGCACTTGCTGTTTTCTCATTTGTCTGACAATGGCCTCTTGTGCAATGCCAAAAGCTCAGAATAAGAGAATTGTCGACCCAGCGATCTCGTCCCTTGTTTCTGTGCAGCAAGAACCTGGGGCACGCACGTTTGCTTTTTATTCATAAAGTGAATTCCTTAAATTTAAAAAAACTTGGTTTCTCTGCAAACTCTGCAAAATAATGAATATTGTATAGGGTCGAATGCCATTTCCCCGGTGAACAGTATATGACATGTTTGATGCAAATTTATAGGAAGAATCAGGAGGTAGGATAACTATCGAAAAATTCATACATATTTCTTGGGCAGGCATGTCGGGTAATACTCGTTGATGAAAGTTCACCGATCGCTAAGGGAACTCACTCGTCCCGCTCTGCCTTGAGGCTCCTTGCTGAGCCCCGTCATCAGCCGCACAGTGGCTATTAGTCGAGAAAGATGGCCTTTACAGCGCCATTATCGCCCACATTGATGATTCCGAACGTCTTGTGGACCACAACGAAGCCGTCTTGGTGATTTATAATGTTCCACCAAACTATCCAAAGTCCCTGGGTCAATGCCTACTAGCAAAAGCAGAAGTGATCGCTAACATACTGAGGAAGCCGGCGTTGTATGCCCAGATGAACCTCCCGCAAGCCTCGCGTCCGGCGTGAACCACAGTCACTTAGCTACACGCAGTCGTCTGCGATCTCCTTGCCTCCCTTCACCCCTCCCCCTCCCCTGGACTGGCCCTACCAGCCGCTTGCCGCCGCGTTATCAACCTTACCAAAATGGCCGTTTCTGGCCTATAAGGTGTCATCAGTTGGTCATACCTAACGCCAAGTGGTGCCCCATCCGAGGCTCGAGTCCTGGATCAGAAATCTAACACTCTAGCCATTAAGCCACGGGCTCCTTGTCTTGCCGGTTTACATCGGGAGATATTGAGACTCGTTGCTGAGTGGGGCACCACGTATAATCGGGTATGAGTAGCTGATGATGAATAATCTGTAGACCTGAACGAAACAGCCTGTCTGCTATGCAATCTCAAATCCTCAAGCTCCTCCTCTTTCTTGCGTCACTACTCCGTCAACGATATTATGACTTTACTACATGTAATCGCGTCTAAACCACAGAATAACAGCCCTCCCATCGAGGGCCTGACTTGTCATAAATTTAAGAAAAATTGCCATTTATAGTACCACCACCATTGCTACCAGAATAATGATAATCACCACGACCACGACAACCATCACCATTACCACACTCACCGCCATCGTCGCCGCCGCCTATACCACCAACGTTGTCATCGTTGGCAATAATAAATCTTTTCCCGCTAACGTCATTCTGCTAGTCTTAGCCAGCCTCCGTGTGGCGTGAGGATTTTGTATTGAAAGTAAAATAGTGACATTTTTAAGCAGAAAAAAACACAGATAGTATATTATTCCAAAAAAAAGTTTTGCAAATACAGACAACGAAAGCGAGGTGCCTGGTATGGTTTGTTTATGTTTGCCCGTCTTCAATGCATGCCCAAAAGCACGCGGCTTGATTAAAAGTTCATATTTTAAAGCGGATTAAAAGGGTGAATGGAGTGCAGACTTCCATAAATAAGCACGATATTCATCATTCAACTAGCTAAATCTGCCATATTTTCCTAGTCTGGGCAGTAGTATAGACGGCGCACCTAAACTGCACAATAGTCAGTTGGCAACACATGTGATATTGCGAGACTACATGCTTCGAATTAGTCTTAAGATCCAATAGCTCTTATGCTAGGAGGAGTATACAGAAATTTCTTTCAAGGTAAATAGGCAGGCCTTTAAAGTTTTCATACGGAACTACGTAGTTGACCTTTTTACTGCTTGGTTGATTGCCTCGGAAAGAGGTGCGGTTTTTGAGCGACGTTTAGTCCTTAAAGAGGTTTACCAAACTCGACTTCGGGCGGAAGCAAATGGACAAAAGCATATTTCAGTTGACCCAATTGTGCAAAAACTCGCGGCATTCGGCGGGATTCGAATCCACATAGGAGGGAAGGCCTTATACGCAAGCCAACGCTCTACCTACTTGAACTACGAATGCCATGCTTCACATCGTGAGTTTAATCACACTTGGGTCGATATTGCCCACCAAAATTTGCCGCTCCAATACGGAACAGTAAGCTGACTGCCCAAGCAGGATTTCCTAAGCAATCATGTAGAATCCACCAGAATGACTAGTAAGCTGACTTAAATATTAAGGAGGTTTGGCAGATTTGGTTAATTTAGTTGTTGGTTAATAGGATTCAGCAGTTATTAGGGTTTAGCAGATTAATAATTAGTCAGCCTAGTAGTCAGTATAGTGGATTCTAGATGATTACCTAGGAAATCCTGCCTTGCAATCAGCTCACTGTACGCGTATTGGTAAACTCCATACGAACGGTAAGTTGGGCGGATAAAATCGATCCAGGTGTGATTAAATTCACGGCGCACGGTGAGCCTCGTAGCTCAATGGTAGAGTGTTGGCTGCGTAAAATCCTTCCCTGCCGTGTGGGCTCGACTCCCACCGAGGCCGCGAATGTTTTACAATTGGGTCAACCAATAGCATTTTTCTGAGTAAAAGTCAGGAGGGTTCAAATTATCCAACAAGTTAAAACGTCTTTTTTAAAGCCTAAAGTTAACCCTTCCCAACCTACAACATTTGAAGATGCCTTAATTTTCTATGGCACTAGTGGAATAAAGAATATTGTCAGTGCATGTTTTTCATAAGATACATTTAAATTTCTCAGGAAGTCGATAATGCTTGCGAAAAATGCATAGTACTTAAACGGCCATCTTTACAACATACAATTTTACAGGTGGTGGGAAAGGGGTTCTTGAAAAATACGGCGTCCTGACTGCACGATAATCAATATTACAATCGTGCTTAAGCCTTTTTTTCGAATCAAAAGCCCATCACAATTTCGGCTTATACCTCGTGAGATAGCAAATCTACTGTATTGACCTTCCAGATTCGTAGCGATACAAACTCGGCGAAACTTGTTTACACTTTAGCTTTGCAGTCAGCAGACTGAATCAGTCAATGGTTATGTACCACGATCAGCCGGTTGGCAGGTTTCGAATAGGTCATTCCACTCAAGCTTATGTCTTTCAGTTCATGCTTTGAGGAAGTTGCTCAAAGTTAAAATTTAGTTGACCCACTTGGGAGAAAAAACTCGCGGCATTCGGCGGGATTCGAACCCGCATAGGAGGGAAGGCCTTCTAAACAAGCCAACGCTCTACCTACTTGAGCTACGAATGCCGAGCTTCATACTGTGAGTTTAATCACACTTGGATCAATATTACCTGCCAAACTTTTCCGCTCATATA